GCCGCCGCGGCGGGCTGTGCCCGAGCAGCCATGGACGAGTGCGCCGACGAGGGCGGGCGGCCGCAGCGCTGCATGCCCGAGTTCGTCAACGCCGCCTTCAACGTGACCGTGGTGGCCACCAACACGTGTGGGACTCCGCCCGAGGAGTACTGTGTGCAGACCGGGGTGACCGGGGTCACCAAGTCCTGTCACCTGTGCGACGCCGGGCAGCCCCACCTGCAGCACGGGGCAGCCTTCCTGACCGACTACAACAACCAGGCCGACACCACCTGGTGGCAAAGCCAGACCATGCTGGCTGGGGTGCAGTACCCCAACTCCATCAACCTCACACTGCACCTGGGTAAGCGGTGACAGCCCTGTCCCCTATTACTGCTCGCCAACAGCCCAGCTCCCGGGCCGTCTCCACCCCCTGGTTCAGCCTGAGGGGCCCAAACTGCCGCGTGCTGGCTCTCTGCTCCGCAGCATGGGCCACACACAAATTCCTCTTCCCAACTTCTGAAATATATGTAGCTGTTCACATCCGTGAGGGTCAAGATGCTGCGCGCTGACATGTCTCTGCTTTCCTGTTCTTTCTAATTTAACGAGATTCTCGCTCTCTTGATTGTTCGCCATTTCAGCTGATAGGATTTTGGTCCCCCTTTTTTCTGAAGCGTTAACCAGCATCTCTCATCCTCACTTTTCTCTTTCCTAGCAAGGCCGTCACAGCGCATTCTTGGATCAGAGATGAAAACGTCCACCTCAGACACTTTTGCCTTGGGAATGTTTAGATGTCTCAGTCGGGTTGAGTGTGACTGCTGTTTGCTCTGTTGAGTTAGGGGAAACTGAAGGGAGCAAATGACTTTACAGCCTGTGTTGCCTATGTATAATTAAAATAGAAATTCACTTTTAAAGTTATTGTTCTTTAGAACTGTTCACCCTTAATTAAGAGCCACAAAGCTATTTCACTGCTAATCCTGGTACAGAAAAAACAAAAGGAAGTGTTTGCACTCATTGTACTTGCTGGGCATGGTTTTGTCCTGGGTGAAAAGTCTCTCACTGTCTTCCCTTTTGCTTTGATTCAAAGCAAGTGTAGAAACACGTATAACTGATCTTTTAGAAATCAGGAAAGGATCTATAGAAAACTTCATGTCAGGGCCATGGATGATGATGGATGTGTATCTGATAGTATCAAAAATTATGTTTGATCTAGGTAAGTTTTTCTTCATCATTGAGATATATAAACAAGCAGAAAGTTTCATTATTGTGTTTGACAGAGTAAGGTATGTGTGAGAAACGGAGATTTGTAGGATTTCAGTTTCCACTCGATTGGAAGACTTGGTTTTACCAGTAGCTGGTACTAATGAACTTCCAGAGAGAACAGACTGCCCCAAGCCGTTTTTCTGTCAAAACAGGGTAATTCTCTAAGGCTAATAATATTCATTATTTGGGGACGTTTGAAAGGAACATTTTGTAGGCAAGTGGTTCTTTTGATCATGATTTTGTGTTTTTATTTCCACTACTCTCTGGTACACTATACCTTATATAAGTATCAAGATTACAGAGAAAGAATATGACTTTCAAAGAGTGCTTTGAAAAGTGGAATAAATTTATTTAGAACCTTTGTAGTAAATACCATTTTATTTGTAGATGAGTCATTAGGCACATGAAACTTTTTGAACATAAGTTCATAAAATGAAACTATGAGGCACCTGTTTTTTCAGAGAGTGAAGAAGTAAACTGTACTGATTTCAGTGTTTTAAAGGTATTGGACATGTGTAAAAGTGGGAGTATCTTATAACAGGTGCCTTCCTAAAGACATGGTAAGAGATCCAGAGTTTCCTAAGGTCTTGTGGGGATGCTTTTTAACTATTTCTCCTAGGTGTTTTATTTTCAAAGTTGGCCAAATTTATTTTTGAAATTTATATGCAGTCATTTTTGTTTAAGTTTTGACTTGTTAAAGTTTCTGTGTTCACGTTTGAATACCCTTGAAGTCTTATTTTTATCCATTTTCCAATTTTAAATTTTTCGAAGAAAAAGCATTCCCTTAATGTCTCTAAGTGCCTGAGATTCAGTTAAACATTTCAGAACAACAATCTCTGATTTAAGGTGGGGCTGTCAATCTTGGCTTTCTGAGTTTTCTGCTGTAGGTACTATGTAGCTGAAGGTTATTTCAGGTGATCACAGAGGTAGATAGATTACTCAATGATTACTTCTCTGTTGCAAAGATAATGTGGTAGAGTGAGACAGTATCAGTCAAGTTAGTTACTACTGGAGAGGCAGATGTATTAACTTTGGGTCATGGTGATTAAAAGGTCAAAAGAGATCTTAGAGCTCACTTAGGACTCTAACATGACTTTTTACTCTAAAAATGTTACATGCTTGGACTTGTTTTTGGTGAAAAATTCCTCAGTTTTTTGCTGTTATTTTTGCTAAATGAAGTTCATAAAGTAAGGGTTTAAAACTCATAATTTAAAGTTATTTAAAACATATTCACTTAAGTATTGTGATTAACTGTAAAAACATGTACTTTAAACCTTTCAGTTAGACAATTTATAAAAACTTGACTAGAACTTATTGTACTTGTTGGATCAGAAATGATGTCCCAGAGGAAATTGTGGGTGGTGGAGGTGGGAAAGGGGAGGGAGATTTGTGTGTAGCAAGGTTGATGTTTCTTTCTTTTTCTTTCTCCAGCCCCCTTTTAATGATTAGGATATATGTATACATGTATATTATGATTAACAGTTTAAGGCAAGTAGACAAGGCTTTATGTGTTACTGTGTGTTTTGATGTCCAGCATATTCACTCTCTAACTGCAGTTACTTCATGGGCTTTAGCTAACTAATTATTTCCCATGACTTCAAGTACCATGACTTTTGTGCATCTATTAAACCTCCCATCCAGTTCAAATTTCACATATCCTTAAACAAGTGATGCATGTTGTGCTTTGCCCTTACAGAGCATGTGAAACTAGAAATGAGCAGTGTGAAAGAACTAGGTCTAGCCACCACTTTTGTAGCCTGCCTTTTGATGTTGAGCTTTAAACACAGTGAACTTTCAAATAAGCAAAGTCAGATTACACTTAACTAGTTACAAGAAACATACATGTTTTGGCAGTTGTTATAAGTCACTTTTTTATTATAAAAATGAAACATTATATGGTAAATTCAAACAGTAAGTGTAATGACTTTTTACAGTGAGTCTTTTTATCTCTAGTTGCTAAGTTCCATGCCCTAGAGACCACTGTTCACAATTTCTTATGTAATCTTCCAGAAATTTTTTATACATACATTATATATAAAATTACATGATCTTTTTAACTGGTACTTTTTTAAGGGCTGAGGCATATTTTAACAGATGGCAAGTACAAATTAGATCATTGTACATTATCACTTGCTGGACAAAAGCCGGGAAAATCAGCCTTGATTCTGCAAGCAGCTATGTCTAAAGCATCATATACAGTGGTGCAGGGTGCAGTGCATCCTCAGATACAAAGAGTTAAAGTTGCTGTGGGAACCAGTACTGCACTTTCTGCCTGTTGTGGAGAGAAATCTCCTAGGCACCCTTTTCTAAAAAGAAGTCTTTCTTATTTTGCCTTCAACTTCTGATCTTTTCTCCAGTTTCCGTATGGATTATTCAGTTTGCTGTTAAAAAATTTGGCTTGTATGTCTTATAATAATATCATCATAAGTTTTCTCAGTAACAGTGCGGTAGTTGACAGACAAGATTGTAGCTGAGGATTGACCTTTTATTAAACAGCCATTTAAATTAATTTGATAATCATTGTGGATGGAAACTTGGCAGACAGGGTCTTGATATTGGAGGAAGGTAGCTTTCCCTCTTTCTAAAAACAATTAGATTAAGGGAAAGAGTGCTTATAAAACTAACTCAATCAAAGTTTATGGAACTCCTAAAATTAACACTGAGACTGGATTAGTTTCCAAGCTCCTCATAAACTAGGAATGAATAGTGATTAAATTAAGCTTTTTAATCTATATCTGAATATCCTTTTTGTGCATGTAAATCAATAATTGGTATATAAAGATATTGCATTTTACGGGCTGGCCTCGTGGCTCACTTGGGAGAGTGTGGCGCTAGTAGCGCTGAGGCCGTGGGTTCGGATCCTACATAGGGATGGCTGGTGCGCTCACTGGCTGAGCGTGGTGCGGACCACACCGTACTGAGGGTTGCGATCCCCTTACTGGTCAAAAAAAAAAGATATTGCATTTTATGCTGTTCGGTCCTCTGATATATATTTAACATGCAACAAACAGCATTTTTTTTTTCCTCTAGGAAAATCTTTGCAAGGTAGGTTCTGACTGTGTCAGGGAATAGCTCACTCTGGTGACTTCACTGTGGTATTTGTGTACCCTGAGGGGACACTATTTTAGTTTGTCTCACAAAGGCCTGATTTACATGTTGCAGGTTTCAACTTGAGAAATTAAGGAGCTCTTCTTTAATGGCCAGCAGTTTTATAAAGTTGCTGTTGGCTGTTTTCCTGTTCTGCAGTTCACTGCTTTTTCTGCAAATTCCTCCTTCATTTTTCTAAAGCATTCAGAAAAAAATTTACATATTAGGGGAGAAGTTGGAGCTGTAAGGCACCACCTCACCTGCTTAATTTGTCATTTGTGAAGGGGATAAAGTTTGACTATTTCAATTCTAAATCTATTTAGGAAGTTGGATATGCCTTTTGCTATGTACTCCTTCCCCCTATGCATACATTCTCATGTTACTGCCAAACAGCCCACAAACATTTTTAAAATACTTATGAAATACATACCACTGTACCTGATAGAAAGGTGTAGAAGACTGAGGTGTCTTCAGAAGTTTATACAGTATCAGATGGAATTTACACACTCAGTTGTAATTCCATTACATTCATAAATCAAGGGAGTCTATATAATATTTTACAGTTTATAAAGCCTCCAGTTTATCACTGGTTAGATTTTTCACAACTCAGCAAAGGCAAAGATGAGAATCCAAAGGTGTAATTTGCCAAAAGTCATGGTGGAGGTGGGTTTTTGACTCCTTAGTTAAGTGCACTAGCCCTTGTAGCTCATAGTTTCTCTAACAAATCTCTGAAAAGAATGTCTGGTTTATTCCAGGGTAACTTAAAATAAAAGTCGTGCACACATTGTTTCAGAGATACAAGACTCCTTTGGTTTTCTTCCTTTTTCCCTCTGTCTGCTCCTTTTTACTTATGTTCCTGGGTTCCTCTCTTTTCATGCTACTCACTGTCTCCCTGGGTGAATTCTTTTTACTGTCAAGCCTTCGTTTACTGTTTGCAAATTTATGAATTCTAATTTTGTATTTCTAGGTCAGTTTTTTTTCCAGACCTAAAAACTTGTTGGATATGCTCAATTT